TTCAAACTTTATATATGTGTTTGGGCTAAATATTGGTGAACAATATGCATGATATATATATATATATATATATATTCTAATTTCGAGAGATGAAATTTCTTTTATCTGGTCTCTAATAATTTGTCGATATGTTAGTTGGTCATGAGCTTAAAACTTTAGAACATTGGATGGCATAATCTTATATTGTAATGTGGTGCTCCTCGAGTGCTTTTTATTTTTCAAAAGAATTTCATGACAAAGGTAGATATATACACAATAAATGTTATTCAATTTTGTTAAACTTAAAATTATGTTTTAAATTTTCATTTTACAAGGTATTCAAAAATTGTCATGTGATCTTTCTACTATTATGATCACTTTTGTTTTGTTTAAATGATAAGTTTGGATGCTTAATTATATTAAAAGCGTTTTACACTTGTGAGTGGAAATTAAATTAGTCAATCGTTTTAGATCTTTTTTGATATTATTAATTAATATCTAAGATGATATTTAATTTCATATTATTAAAGTAAACAAAAAAGGTTGAATTGTACATTTGGCCCTCCAACTTTAAAATTTTAGTTTGGTCTTCTAATTTTTGTAAAATATATTTTTAGTCCTCCAAACCTAACATCATTAGTTTCTAAAAAAGAAAATTTTATACCAATCATTGTTATTTTAAAAACATTTAAAAATATTTTATCAATATTTAAAAATTCAATGTAGGAATTTTTTTTATCCATAAAACTAAAAGTATTAAAATTAAAAGGCTGAAAAAATATTTTATAAAATTAAAATACCAAAATAAAATATCATATGAAGTTAAAAGATTAAAGATACATTTTAACCTTAAAAAAAAGTATATTTGAAACCTTGATTGTTGTGCTGCCTGTTGAAACTGGTGTGGCTGATGCGCATTAATGGAGATAGCTTGTGAAACTGCATATTTTGGGGGGGTCTTAATCACTATTTAGCTTGTGAAACTGCCTATCTGTTGAAACATACAGATTTGTCTTCATTTTGGGGCTTAATTAATCTGAAACTGTGCACATCTTTTCCCAATGACCTATTGATGTTAACTTGATGAAGCTCATTACTAATGGCTTTAATTTTCAAGGAATGTGGCAGTTCATGGGTTTTGTACGAGGATACATGGATCTCATTCTTCAACATCTTTCATGGAAAATGACTTGAATCACTTGCATCTTGGATATTTTATGAATTGTAGATTTTCATTAATTAAATATGAGTTTGAGTAATTAAGTTCGGTTTATTATTAAGCCCATAATAGATTCCTCTTTATAATCATGTATGTATTATTGTGATTAGTGAACTATATAAATAAGCCTATTGGGTAGAGACAACGACAAGTTGGGGCAAAGGGGGTGCTTGCCCCATAATTTTACTGCTCCTATGTGTTTTTTTTTTTAAGTTTTATTTGTAAAAAAATGTTAAATTTAGTTTTTGCTCCCCTTGTGTTTTAATCGTTTTAAAGTTTGCTCCCATGAAGTTGAGTCAATATTTGTTACTAGGCAGGGGCCAACTTATAACCTTTTAGCTGTCAATTTTATCACAATTATGAAGTTGATTAAGTAAGAGAGCTTATGGGAGAGTTAATCAATTAATTAACTAAATATATTTAAGTGGTAACTATAACCTAATCTTCAAGGGGCTCAACATCTCATGATCTTTCATAGGTCTTCTCCTCTCTTTCTCTTATATTCTCTTGCTATCTGTAAAGTTAAGGAGGTCTAGAAGTTTACATTGTGAACCTTCCCAATCTTGAGATAACCAACATCTTCTTTGCTTTCTAATACTAAAGGTTATTTTTAAGGAAGTCGGGGAGGTAGTCAAATAATTGTTTTCCGTGGAGATCACTTAAATTTTTTTTTAAAAACATTTAAGTACTAAAAATATGAAAGTTAAGTACTGAACAAACACCATGGCTTTGTAAGGTATGTAATTAATGTTTTAAAAGGTCTTTAAATATAATTAACGTCTTTAAAGGTCTTTAAATGTCATTCTCCCAAAATTCCTGCAAATGAATATAAAATTATACTAATTTAAGTAAATAAAATAGACCTATCAATAATATTGGTATTATTTTATTTTCAATATTACTTTAAATTCACACGGGTAACTCTTCACCTAGGCTAAAATTACAAGAAGATAGTATATAATATTTAATATTTTAAACCTTTCATTTTTTTTTTTTTTACCAGCAATCTACCTTTCATATTTTGCACCGCCTATATTCTTTAATGATTTGAAGTCACTCGAATCTTCACCTAAATCCAAATATATCTGATAAGCCCATTAAACCTAATCTAAAATTTTAAGCCCACAATAGCCGAAAACTATTATTCCCACGCCTTGTTTTTCTGCATCAAGATGCTTTTGCTTCGTATAGGATAGTGAGTTTCACGTGATGACCTGCAGGGGCAGAGCCAGGCAGCTAGCATTTCATAACTAATATTTATAATTAATTTGAGATTTTTAATATTTATCATAACTAATATTCTTAAAATATTTCTATAGATTTATAAATGTTAGATAATAAAATTTGTATGATTATAAAATATTTGTAAGAAAATATAAATTATATTGAAACTACATGCCTTATATGTAATTTTATAGGCGAAACATCTAACACATTAAATTTGAGAGAGAATTAAACATAATTACTGATGGTTTATATTGTTATATATTTCCAATATTATTACATTTTGTAGCAATATTAGGACATATCTTCAAATTTTGTAAAAAAATAAATTAATATAGTAATATGTAAATTTTAAAAAGATTAAATATTTGACATGTTTAAAGTAATATTTAAAAGTCTAATCATAGAAAAATTAAATAAGAAAAATTAATCTAAATTTAATAAGAATGCTCAATTTTTATAACAATTTAACCAAAAATATAACATAAACAATTGTAAATTAATGAAATGTATATTTTATTGTTTTTTTAACTACTAAATAAAAGTTAAAAATAAATATAAATGAGATGACTAAATAAGTAATATATTATATTATATTATATTATATTATGACAACAACAATACATCTTATTAGATAGAGTCAGCTACATAAGTTGTATGACACCATTATTGTATTCTATCATCAATAATCAAGCTCTTAAGCATATTTTGAGTCACGAATGTATTAGGATATATTGTTGATGGAGATTTGTTTTCTTTGAATTTGTTATCCATTAAGATTTATTCTATTTAAATTTAGAAAATATTTTGTATTCATTAGATATTATTAGGATATTCACTTGTTATTATTAGGTTCATCTATGGTCGTATGCTCTTAAGATCAATAAAGTATGTCATTTTTCTAGTCTCTTGATTTCTTTCATGATATTAGAGCTAGGTTAATTAAGCTTTGATAGTTTGTTTACGCTAGAGATTTGTATTGCAAAGTTCTAGCCCTTCATGCCTCTTTATTTTGTTTTTATAATGGTTCAATTTAAAATTTTATGTAATGATTTATGCCTCTAACAATCACCCCTCAGTTTGTTAGGGATTGAGAGAAGCTCGTTTCAGTAATACCTTACTTCTTCATCCTTGATTTTTCCTACCAAGTGATTTATTCTTTTGAGAATCACTCTTGAGTTTGCAAATGATTGAGAGAAGTTAGTTCATTTCTGCTATATCTTGCTTCTTTACTCTTGAGTTTTTTATCTAATGATTCATTTTTAAGAATCAATCTCAATTTTTATGCCCAATGATTTATCCTCCAAGTTTAGATTCTTTGAATCAGTACAACCTCTTGCAAACTCGAGTATCTTGAATTTGGGGGAAAATGTTAAAATATATTATTTATAAAGACTTATTTTATTTAAATTTGTTACCCTTTAAGATTTATTCTATTTAAATTTACACAATATTTAATATTTATTAAATATTATTAGAATATTCAGTGGTAAAAAATTAATGTTGTGATGTGATTTACAAGATCAAGGAAGAACCTTCCTCAACGTCTAAGTATTTCTAGTATTAAAGGATGAAGCTCAACAATAAGAAAACAACGGATGAGTGAGCTGCCAAGTTAGACGCGAATGGCATGTATGGTCACTATGGTGCATGGCACGTTTCATGCGCGCGCGCACACATATTCAAAATGTCTTAGTTTTAGCATTATGTGTAACTATGAGTATGGATCAACCCCATATATCACTGACTTATAATTCCTCGTACTTTTCACTGATAAAAGTGGCAAAATTTCACAAATTTATATTAAAACAAAATAACAAGTCAAAATTAGTAATTTATATAGTCAAAACTTAACTATGGAATTAATAAGTGACATATAACTTGAGGTTGAGTCATGCGCTCAAGTAACTAACTTCGATATTATTATAGATATATTTCCTCCGGTTTTTATCAAGTATCTTCGGTCTTTAATGCATACACACAATAACACTTTTTATTTAAAAGATTAATTTTCTTCTCTCCAAAGTATCATTTAATTATTTGATATTCCGTAACTAACAAAATAACCTCCTCTAATTAATTATAAATTTTATTGAAGATAATTGTAAACTTTACAAGAATTAAGTAATTTTAATTAACTTTCAAATTAATAATCATATAAAGCTGGCCACAGGGACTAATAATTAATTAGCTTCTTAAAAAAATGTTCTTACAAGTCTTAGAGAGGAAGGAGCAGCATCATATAATTGTTTTTGCAAGAACGTCTAACTATATGTGTTATAAGAAAAGTAAAGTGCAATAAGTGGCAAGAAACGTGTACAGTAATAACATTAATATATGACACTGTTTATTAATTGTCACACCAAACTGGGGAAAAAAAAAAAACACAACGATAACCCCATACAAATCCTCCTGATGACATGGAAGAAATGAATCTAGCTATAACAAATATATACATTATTTATGCTGCTCATGAGTGCTGATATATAGAGCAAATAGGATGAGAACAATATAACAAGCAGATATCAATTATAAATTTAAGGGCTAGAAGATGAAGGTTGAAGCATTTGCTATGTCATTAATTAGAAGGAGGAGGAGAGAAGATAGAAGGAATAGAAGTTGGGATCGCGGGAATAACAGGAATATTAGGAAATGGAGGAAGAGTGACTCGTGGCACTGTTGGAATCGTAGGCAGATTAGGGATATTTGGCTGAGGCATTGTTGTTGGGATTGAAGGGAAAGGTGGTAATCCTGTAGGTTTAGGCAAGTTACTTGGAATTCCAGGCATGTTTGGTATCGAAGGCTGTGTTGTTTGCAGAAGATGACGAGCTGCTACGACACTTGAACTCATCATGCTGGAGAATATTGCGAGAGCCAGCAGGAAAGTTAGGAGGATGGAGTTCCCAGAAGATGAAGCCATGGCTGGATTGATTATGAAGCGGTGAAGATCAGTGAAGAAGATGTAGAAGATCGAATAGTAATGTTTGGTCTGAGTTTTGATGATGATACAAGTGATGATTCTTGGTCTTATATATAGATAGAGGTAGGCAGAGGGGCTGTATGGTTTGGAGAACCACAAAGAGACTTCTATAGAGATCTTTTATATTTGTTGGTCACCGATTTGTTTGTGTGATTGGAAACACATTTCTGGTGCAGACTGCAAATTTTCAAACATAAGATGGCCAACCACATATTATAATGTATTATATAATTAAGAGGTTAATTATAGGGAGGGAAAAAAGTATGGAGAGAAAAAGTTGCTCATTTTTTTTTTTTTGGGTAGTTATATGCATTCTCTCGGAATATTATAGTTTTCTATATTCTATTTTTTTCATTGATCATGAGTATCTTTTCATTAGAAGTAATCATTATATATTAATATAATTATAATTAATTATTATAATATATATCTATTGTTAATATTTTTGATACTAATAATATATTACTATTAATATTACTATGAATAAAAATATTATATATAATATATTTATATTATTTAATATATGATATTAAATTTATCACCCTATTAATATTACTTTTTAAATATATTACTAAATACATATATTAACACAATAAATCTAAGGGTTTCCGATGACAGATTCCTTCGGACGAAAAGATGAGGGTTTCCAATAAATATATAGTAATAAATGAATATATAAAATAATTAAAATTATAATATTAATCATTTACAACTTGTTGTTATATGTTATAACGTTATATATATATATATATATATATATATTTTATACGCTTAAAATTGCTGAGGGTTTCAAAATATCAATGACAAGTCCTTTGGATGAAAAGCTGAGGATTTCCAATGAACATATAATAATAAATGAATATATAAAATAATTAAAATTATAATATTAATTAATATTTTATATATAATATTTTACATGTTTAAAAATGTTGGGGTTTCAAAATATTAATGATAAGTCTCTTTAGACTTGTCATTAATATTTATATCTAACAATAGGTCATACTTGACCTGTCGTTAGACATATAAATTTAAATTTATAATATTATTTATATTAATAATATTAATAATAATAAAATTAATTATTTGTGAAGATATAGATAACAACGATAGTTTAATTAGAGACCTGTCATGATAATATTATAATATTTACTTTTGATGTTATAATCATAGTTACATTTATAATTGTGGAAAAAATAGTGTCGTTAAATTTGTATTCTGCACTAGTGATGTTTAAGGTAGGATTGGACATTAAATGTGAATACCTCTTTTTATAAAGATTCAAACTTTAATTCACTACTTTGTGAAGGATTAGCCCTATTTTGTTAAACCTAACCTTGTTAATAATTTTACATATTTTTTTAATAAAGACACGTGTGTATTGAACATATAAAAATAATTAATTCATTTGGTTTAACTATTTTTATTAAATATAATATATACATAGCATGATAATTTTATAAGTTATCATTTCATATTTTTTTTATAGTAGTTCGTGAAACTGGAATATCAGCCTATATATAGGAACTGAACATTGCACATGCTAATAATGATCGAGAATAAGTTGGGCAAAATATTACTGAAGTAAATTTTTTTTTTAGGTTAGAATATACAAAAATTTCCTAAATTTTGAGATCATTGCTTAGAATTCTTTTACTTTTAAAAATTTAAAATTAACTTTTCTAACTTTTATTTTTTAGAATCACATTGAAAAAGAAGGATGAATATCCTGCAGTGTTGTAGTCTCATGAAATATGCAAAAAGCACTAAAGTTCCAAGTCCTTAAAATGTAAAGAAGTTTTCTTACATAATTACCAAAATGCCCTGCTGCATTACAAAGGAAAAGAGCTAGGCAAATGGCAAGAGGGTATTTTGGTGAGCAAACCAATTGAAGCTTCAAATCTTGAGCCACTACGCTGAGCAAACCACCCATGCGCTTGGCAAGAGGGTATTTTTGATTTTTGGTGTTGTTGATCAAAGCTTTGTTCTTGAAGTTATTTCTTGTGCTAATTTTGTAAGCAGCATTAACACTTCTACGAATTGTCCTGATTTTCCTTTCTTGCGAAGCCATGGGACTATGCACTACATTCATTTTCAAATTCGATTTTGCTTTAGAATGTTTTTTATTTGGTTTTGCTTTTTGTTTCTGGAACTGTACCTCCGATGAAAATGAGACCTTAATGTGGATTTCACGCTTGAGTCCGTGAATTATCTCAATGATCCCAAGGTCTCATTTCCTCAGACAATTTGTCCCCAATCCAGACGTGGACGGAGTGATGGATCACCCTTGTGCAAATGATGGCGTTACAATCCTGTTCTAAGTATTGTCAAACATGAATAATTTTTCTAATAAAAAATTAAATCTTAATTCGTTGTGGTGTGAGAAATTAATCCTTTCTATTAAATTTAATTTCTGTTGGTTATGATTCACCACTCTTTGTGCAAAAGACTAGAGTTAGAAATAAAAGTCGAGTATGATGGCCGTCCATTTAAACTCATTTTTATAAAAGTTTGGACTTAAAAAAATGTTATTGTTTTAGAAAAATTGAACTTCAAAACCTAACTTTGATAGGCTCTAAAAAACAAACTCGAGCTTGAGTGACTTTTTTAGACCCTTTTTCATTTTAACTCTAAAAAAGTAAAATATTTTTATTTTTTAAATTAAATTTAAACTTCAAATATGGCTACATGTGATGACCACGTGCATGGGAAGTTAAGGAGAAGCAAAAGGAAACATACAAAGATGTGGAAGCTACACGACTTGAGCGATACTGAATGATTATAATAGAACAGAATTCAGTGCATTGAGTCATTGCACCGAATGAGCTTTATGAGTATGAGGGTTCTCTCACTCAATATGTTGATTTTTTGAGATTAACTCTTCTTTTAACCTTGCACTCATTACTGTATAATGACTCAATGCAAGGATATATGATATGCAACTATGCATTATTAAGCCCTGTAACAAAATGCTCAGAATTACAAAACAAGTATCAGGGAGAAACAATACATGGAAAGGAAATAACAACAAAGAATTCTAGAGAGAGAATAGAAAGAAACCGTACAGAGAGAAGATTACACAATCATATTTGCCACACCCTCCTAACAAAATTCTGTTCTATTATAATCATTTTGTATCACTCAAGTCTCGCAGCTTCCACATCTTTGTACGTTTCCCCGTGCTTCTCCTTAACTTCCCATGCATTAGCAGCGGAACCAGATTTTAGATCTAAGGGGGCCCAAAATTTTTAATTTAATAAATATTATCAATTTAAGTAATTTAAAACTAATTAATTAAATCCTAATATAAAATTTTAATATTTAAACATATATTCACAATTTTATAATAGGCAAATATATATATATATATATATTATATGCAGGCATGGATTAAATAAATATATATATATATATATATTAAGGAAGGGGTTGGAACTTGGGGGGACCAAGGCCCTCTCTCCATCATTAACGTAGTTCCGGCCCGCATGCATGTGGTCATGACATGTATTTGGGCTTCCGCTAGGCCCATCTCATTTGGGTTCATTACACATTGTATTATTGTTTTACTATATAATAAGAAATGCAAACACGCATACACACACACACCCTGTTTGTTAGTCGCTACTGAAAGAAACGGGAAAACAAAAAACGTTGATAGCTGACATAGAAGAAAGCAATCGAAGGCCACAACTGTCAAACAAATGATGTATTATACTATTATATTTATACTGCTGAGTGCTGATTCATATAGAGATAGTATAAGTAAATGTTTGTGTCTTATAGAATAACTCTGATTTTGAATTGTCACACGAAAATAAAGAGAAAGAAAAATTCACTGATAGCCTCATACAAACCCTTCTGACATAGAACAAATATACAAATTCTGCTTATTCATTATAGCATTGTACGAACAATATAACGAAATATGTTGTTCAAGGGCCAGGAGGGAAAGATGGACGTGGTGTAATAGTATTTGGAGTTGAAGGAGGAACATTAATGGGCCAATGGAACCTTGGTCTAACAGGCCCAATTTAATATAAAAATTTTACAAATTAACCATTTATATATCCTCTAGACAATCTAGATTTATAATTTTTATATTAATAAAGATAACATTTAAGAATACTTAAATATTAATTTAAATGAATGGTAAAGATTATTTTAGAGTGAAATGGAAGGTTCAAATTGAGCCACACATATGAGCATGAATGCTGACAATAAGTTAGGGCTGTGCAAAAGTCTTGTAGTCTGGTCCAACCCGGTCCGACTTGTGAAAACCCGGTCCAGTCTAGTCCTATAAAATGTTGGTCCTGTAGGACTAAAGAGACCAAAAAAACAGGACTGATTTTTCGAGTAAGACCAGATTAGAGACCAAGCATCTGGACTAAATGATCCGGTCTGGTCCTATATAATTATTTTAATATAATTAAAAATAATTTATAAATTATTAATTAATAAGTTTTGCATTATTATCTTCAGGCTTCAGCAAGCGGCGCAGCTACTCGAGTCTCAATCCACAAAACTCATTCATTCCTAGTTTCTCCACTCTCCAGTGCGCCGAAGCCCTAGCCCCTGCCTCCTCCTGTACGCCACCTCCGACCACCGTCAATCACGTCGCCAGCCCTTGCTCTTCCCTCTTCATTCTCGCTCGAGCCTTGATCTCTGATTCATTGCTCTTCCCTCTTCATTCTTGCTCAAGCCATTCTCCTGCAATCCTACCCACCGCTACTCTGCTTCAATCACGTCGGTTCGTCTATTATCAGCATCGCCTCTCGTATCTGATTCACTGTTGAGCACCCCACACCACCGCCCTACCCCTGCTCTCCATTACCCCTAACCTTTGATTTAAAGGCACAGATTTGGATTGACTTACCTGCTTTGAATGGGCTAAATTCACATAGAGTTGAATTTCTTTCCCTCAAATTAAATCTTACTTACCTGCT